AAGAGCACACAAGTACGTGGAAACTGATTTTTGCCCGAAGTTCATAAGAATACTAACAGATGTTGAACAGGCAGCTGGAAGCCAGGCATCACTGTGATAGTTAATGGTGGAATTAGTAGTCACAAGTGGACACTCAACTAAATACCCTTTAAAAGCACTGAGTAGGATAGATTGTTTTGAGATAGATTGATAAGTATTCATTCAGATCTTACTGCTAAAGACCTTGCAGCCTAATCTACTGTATATACTAGAAAAATGTCACTGTCAAAATCATTGTCAAAGTTCTCCCCAACCTTCCTTCTCCTCTATGGCCGATCTGCAGCAGGACCAAACCATTTTCAGCTGCAGCTGAGGTAAGCAAGTGGAACTGGTAGTCACTGTGGCATAAATACAAAGCACTTTTCTGACAAGGGTCACTGCATAGGTTTTGGAGCCAAGTAATCTTCCAGATTGCTACAGGTCTATGTTTGTGTCCTTTTGAGGAAAACGGTGATCAGGCATTCTCCTTGATTTTTTTTTTTTTTTTTTTTTTTTTTTTAGTAGTCTCTTATTCTTTAGCTTTAAGTGATTTCTTGTTGGTGTAGTTCTGCCTTTCTCTGGAAGGGGAATGCTAGAGAGGTGTGGTGTTGAGCCTTTCTGTTTTTCTTTCCTTTTCCTCTTCTTGGGAAAGACATTCCTTCTGTTGTGGTTCCCTGGTTGGGCTGATGCTATGACATTATGTCCTCCATCTGCCTCTTGCTAGACTAGTCTCTCTGCATTCCAGTAGGTTTAGTCTAGTGCATGTACATAGTGTTAACTGACTATAAATCACCCATTAAAGCCACATGACATGCAAAACCTAAACCCATAGGCCTAGGGATGGTAGCCTGAGCCTAGCAAATCTGTTAGTTTCTCATTCATTGTGCATCCCAGCCCTGATCCCTTCTCCTCCAAACATAACAAATTCTTTATTTCTTTACCATCTGACATTTTTATCCTTCCTTTTTCCAGTGTAAGCTCTCTCCACGACTATGAAATGTACACTCTCACAAGCAGACTCTTTTTTTAAGGCTTATGAAGCTGTTTAATGTTGCTTGTGAGTGTTTTCTGGAGAGGTCTGGACTGCTAGGATTAATGTCTTCGTGCCATCTATACTTCCTCACTTGCTGGTTGTTCCCAGCAGTTTCCTTGAACTGAAGTACTTAATATAGAAAGCACATAGAAAGCAAAGTTGCAATGCATCACGTCTGAAGAGTATTTAGTAGTCACACGCTCCTGGAAATATGCAAATGAGACTTATGGGTCTTGACCTGTGTTTTCTGATAATAGCAAAATTCACTGTAAACGAGCTGCCCATCTCTTACGCAGGTTTTCATTTATTTTGACTACAAGATGCGATTAATTTGTGCAATTTCAAAGAAAATGAATGCAATTATGTACGCTATAAATGGCAAATATTTTAGCCCACTGTATTGGTTAGAGAAGCTGTTCTTCGCAGTAGCGTGGAGTGCTGTGTTCAGTTCACACACAGTACAATGTAATGTGCTTGTGTCCTGTCTAGCCATGAACATGCTGTGTGCTTCCATAGGTGGCATCTCCTGTTCCTGTTTGGTTTGCAACTTATGTGTCTGTCTGATTGAATCGCCCCACACCCTCTCTGCAGCCCTTTGCAACGTCATTGAAAGCATATAGCTAATTCTTGTCCTCTTTTGCAGCGCTACAGTCTCCCATAGAGTACCAACGCAAAGAAAGTAGCTCAGCAGTGCTGAGGCCCCAGACCGGTAGGGTCCCTCAGCCCAACAGCAGACCCTATTCTTCTGTTCCAGTAGGGTCTGAGAAGCCTTTGAAGGCTACAAGCCGTAACCCATCTCTCCCACCCCTGAAGATATCTACCTCCAACGGCAGCACAGGGTATGAACACTCACAGCCCGGAGACAAGTATGAACAAAGCAAGGTACAGAGCTCATCTGATAAAACATGATCTCATAGCCTATTTCTTACACCATAGACAATCTATGAAGTTAGCTTTAATTATAAGCTAACCAGGTCAACAGGAATCAACATACTGAAGCAATGGTATAAAATGTGATTTGGGATTAAACAGAGGCTGCGAAAGCTCTGGCATCCAGATGGATGGCATGTCAGCTGGGAAAGGGAGACAGAGCCCGACCCTGGAACGCTGAT